TTAACTGAAGACAAACACACAAAAATTACACTGACATGTGGAAATAAGTATGGGCAGTGCCACGTGAAGAAAACAGAACATGGAACTATGTTTTCATTGGGTTATATTAATAAAGTCCATACGTGAATGTGGAGACTTTCCAGAACTCCTTCTCCAAACTATGCTTCCTCCAGAGTCTTCTAGCCCAGTGAATCTACATCCAACCCATAAGCTGTTCCACACTTGCTTTTAATTTCACCCTGTGCATCTCCCACTCGCAAATATGAACCAAAGATAAAAACAACTTGTGAGGGCTAAAGAAAGAAAGCTAAGCAGCAGACCCCAAGCCTCAGCCTGGTTTTTACTTCTCACTTGTTTTCCACCACCATTCTTGGTCTGTGGGGCTTTCTGCTCTCCTTACAGTCTTTACCTGGAGGGGTGATATCTCTGGGGACCAAATTAGACACTGTCTAGGTACAGCAGTGACAAAATAGACAAGGTCTCTGAGTTCATCGAGCGTATTTTAAAATATGTAGTGGATTCCCTGCCTGGTGTGGTTCAGTGGATTGAGTGCTGGCTTCTGAACCAAAGGGTCTCTGGTTCAATTCCCAGTCAGGGCACATGCCTGAGTTGCAGGCCAGGACCCTCAGCTGGGGGCACACAAGAGGCAACCACATATTGATGTTTCTCTCCCTCTTTTTCTCCATCTCTTCCCTTCCCTCTGGCAATAAATAAATAAATAAAATATTTTTTAAAATAAATAAAATATGTAGTGGTGAAGGTGGGCTTATGAGAAACAGAAAATAAACAAATAAATACATAATCAAATTGAGATAATGCTGTGAAGAAAAAACAAAATAATGTTATCAGGAGGCAATGGGAACACTAGACCAGGTAGTCAGGGAAGACAATTGAGAACACAACACTTTAGGGCTCACTTCGGCAACACATATACTAAAATTGGTACAACACAGAGAAGATGAAAATGCAACACTTTAGTTAGGACTGAAGGATGAGAGCAGGACTGAAGGATGAGAGCCAGCCACTAGAATTGTGAAATGAGGCCCGCAGGCAGAAGGAAAAGTGAGTAAAAAAGCCCCAAATTAGGAATAAACAAGGCATATTTGAAGACCTGAAAGGCCATAATGGCTGGAGGGTTACTAGTAGTTTCTGACTCAGGGTAAGAAATGAGGCTGCAGAAATAGGCAGAAAGGAGTCATCACCATTGGAAAGGGTTGATGTGATCTGACTGAGGTTTTTGGAAGACCACTCTGGCGAGTGTGCTGCCAGTGATTTATAAGGAGGTGAGAGTGGATGTTTGGAACATTTAGACAAGTGTGGAAACAAATGTGCTAGCACAGGCAAGATGTTGGTGCCATGGACTTTGGCAACATCTAGTTCAGAGAAAAAAGTGTAAATTTTTAAAGGAAACTTAACAATAAAATAAAACAAAAACTAAGGGGAATTTAAAAATAGGATTAAAGTATATATCTTGCACAGATTTCTTATCCTAAGATAAGTAAGGTGTGACCCCCATTTTTGGAAGGCAGAGGAAACAAGAAGATATTCTCTCAAGTCTGTCCCTTCCTGTCCCTAAAATTCCCCTTTGTGGTCCTTCATTAGTTGCTGCTACTCTCCAAGTGGACAAATAGGGAGCAGCCTAGAGCCCCAATACTACATACAATGGTAGTCATATCCCTTGGTGTACACAAACTAGATAATAAACATTACAGACACAATGTTTCTTCTACATACTCTCATGTTAGGATGACACTCCTTCCCTATAAGAACCATATTGGAAATTTCTTGGGGTTTTATTTTAACTATAACACTCCAGAACAAGTCTAAAGAAAAAAAATAGCTTTTATTCTCTGATCCACAGGGATATATCTATCACTTTTATAAACTTTTTCAGGACTGGCTACTATAAAAATAAAGTTATCACCTTTAAACATGATGGCTAGGTGGTGAAAGAGGTGGTATAGTGTTCGAAGTGTTTCTTTTATGGACTTGGATGGCTAAGATGAAACCCTGTAATTCAGTGGTTGGGAGTGAAGGCTCTAGAGTTAGGCTGCTTGGGATCAAATCCTGGTTTCTCCACCTACTGTATAGTTTACAGCAAGTTATTTAACTTCAATAAGCCAGCACTGCATCTGTGAAATGGGAACTTGATAAGCCCCGAAGAATCTGAAATTGATGAAATATGATGAGAACTGTTCATGAACGCGGGAGAGAGCTTTTAAACCTGCTCCATCCCCAATGCCTCATAATCTTCCCCTTTGACATCTCCCAAAAACATACACATCGACATGCACTCTATAGTGCACACAAACACGTACCACACCTACACACTCTGAGGTAGAGCCTGCATTCTTAAGAAAATGGTATTTAACCACTATACTTAATAAAATAAACCTTTCTAATTTATCACAGATGAAAACAACTCCTGGAAAGGAGTCACCAGATCCCAGACCCTGCACCAAACTCCCTTCACACTACAAGCTCAAAGACTTTCAATGACTCTTTTTTTTTCCGTAGGGGAGAAAAATGATCCACGCCTTTTTTCCAGGAGTTCATGGACTCCCACAGCCAGCTTAATTTATATTCCACATTGTGGAATTGTGGGAGCCTTAGGCTCTACCAACTGTTTCCCAAACAATTTGCTTCAATATAAGGAATTTAAGACCAGGTAAAGGAAGGTTCGGACTGCCTCAACACTAAGAATGGATGAACTGGGTTTGAAACAAGTGAATAAGTTTCATAATATAGTTGACCCTTGAGCAACACAGGTTGGACTGCCCATGTCCACTTATACTCAGATTTTTTCATAAATACCTGTACTGTTCCCATCCAAGATTGGGAGTCTAAGGATGCAGAAGACCAACTGCATTGTTTGGCCATTTTATATGGTGGACTTGAGCATCAATGGATTTTGGTATTAATGGGGGTTCCTGGAAACAACCCTCCTCCAATACTGAGAAATGACTTAAGTTTTAGGGGAGTCAAAAGTTGTATATGGATTTTTTATTGCAGCAGCATTCGGAGTCAACTGCATATCCTCTAAGAAAGTTTCTTAAGCGTTGGCCTCTGGAACCAGCTATTGGGCAGCGTTTACCCAGTGGACACCAGGGGGTAGCAAAATCACACTCTCCCAGTTCCCAGGCACTAACCCTAAGGAAGCTGGAGAGTCTTCCTGACTCAGGGCCTCGTAACCGTTGACAGAAAAGAGCTCAAACTCCTGGTCTCTAACTCTGCTGGAAAGATAGTCACTAGGGCTTGCTGTTCTAGATTAATCTTTTGACGCTATGGAGTAGAGAGACCTTGCCTAAAAAAAAAAAAAAAACACCTCTCACCTCTTTTACAGATCCAGTGGAGCAGTAAAAGGGTGGAGTTTAGCTTTCTAAGGAGGTGCGAGAAGAGCCATTACATCTAAGCAACGTCCTCTTCTCCAGCTGTTCCAAGAACTGCCCAGAAATTCTGGCCTCCTGGCTTCTTAGGAGCTGCATCCCTTGGCAGGATGCTTTCCAAGCGCCACCCCTTAGCTGCAGTGGCACATGGCCTCAAACCCCTCTCTGAGAACTATGTGGCTTTTTAATTTTTATTGATTGATGAAAGAGAGAGAGACAGAGACAGAGACAGAGACAGAGACAGAGACAGAAAGAGAGAGATTTGTTTTTCCACTCATTCATGCATTCATTAGTTGACTTTTGTATGTGCCCCTACCCAGGATCCAACCAGCAACTTGACACATAGGGAGGAAGCTCTAACCAACTGAGCTACCCAGCCGAGGTATTTGGCTTTGTATTCTCTCTCAAATTCCCACCCTTTGGAAGCACCACCCACTCCACCCCACTCCTACCTCCCACCCCTACCCTCCACCCCACCTGCCCCTGCAGAGCTTCCAGCGTCCGCTCAGAGGAAGGACAACACATCTCCTTACTATGTCTAACTTCCCCCAACCCTCCTGTGGGACCCTCGCTGGGCTTTCATTTTCCATCCGCCCATCCGAGAGCGAGCGAGTGGGTGAGGCTAGAACTTTCTTAATAAGCCTACACCCACTTTATCTGCTGTGTCAGATAGCCGTCCCCACCTCCCTGAGCCCCAGTGGTCCTGGAAGACTATCGCCACCCCACAAAAGAGAAGGCTCTGATATCCAATAGTAAATCATGAGGTTCTGGCGCCTTCCCTCCACTAGCAGAAATGGGAGAGATAAGGGTGCAGAGGGGATAGGGTAGCTACAAAGGAACTCAGAAAATGCTTGCGTTAGTGCACACTCTTACAGGAGGATCCTGATCCGAGGAACCTTCCCCGCTTCAGCCACCATGCCCACCCCAAGCCTGCACAGCTCCCTAATTGCCCCCCACGCTCCCGCCCTCCCCAGACCGCACAGAGGAGCCCATTGTCAGAGACCGAACGTTCCAGGACTGAGGAGAAGAGAGGGTAAAGAGGAGGGCCAGCAAGTCTTCGGAGGGTGGGAGGAATCCTCTGGTTTCCCTGCCCTTCGCTCCACCCAAGGCGCACAGGGGCCTGGGGGCGGGGGTCTCTTCTGAGTCTGGCAAAACCGAAGGGAGAAGAGGTTCCCCAGCGAGTTAGAGACCGGAGGCTTCCTGCCGCTAAACGATTCCAGTCCCTAGGCTGGGGACCCCAGGGAATTCGCGGACGCCCCAGCCTCTGGGGTGTCCCCCGCGGGGACTAAACAGATCCCGCACGGAGCGAGGCCAGCGGCGGGAAAAGAAGTGCATCTCCAGCTAGGCGGGCCTCCGAGGGTCTGGGTAGCAGCTACCCATTGGAGGGCCGGGCGGAGGAGGAAGAGGTTGCGGGAGAGCGGGGAAAGAGAAGCTGGAGGAGTCGCGGGAGCCGCGGACAGGCTGAGCGCGGGAGAGGGAGTCCGCGCAGGGGGGTCCCAGCTGGGGTCCGGCTCCGGCGGGGAGTCGGAGGCGGGCACTGCGGGGCGGGGCGGGGCGGGGCGGCCGTCTGGGCCCTCCCTGGCTGGGCCCCGCGGCCTGGGAGCCGGAGCGAGCCGAGCCGCCACCGCGGCCGGCGCTGTCCCCTAGCCAGACCCGGCGAGACGAGAACGGCGGGAGGGAAGCGGCGGCGCGCCCGGCCCCGCCCGCCGGCCGGAGCTTCGGACGCAAATCCGCGCCGAGCCATGGTGAGTCCCGCGTCGTAACCCAGGGGTCCCCTCCGCCTTCGCTCAACCCACTTCGGGCCACCGGTCCCCCCGCTTGGTGCCTCTGACGCCTGCTTTGGACAGTTGAGCGCTCCCGGACTCTCCTCCCTCCCATCCCCCCCTCTTCTTTTCTTTGATCTGTCTGTCCGCCCCACTGTCTGGCTCGGCCCCCACCGGGCATTGCCCTCACCCTTTCTTTCTCACTACTCTTCCCCGCCCCTTCCCCCCTTCTCTCTTTGGTCTCTCCCCTAATCTACACAGCTCCTCTCGCCCTCCTCCGCCCTGACCTGTGCCTTCCTTTGCAGGATCTTCCCTTCCCCTCCGGGGCCCTCCTGCGGGTTGGGTGCTGCAGCGGCCCTAGCGGCCTCAGGTCATGAGAACTGACCTGCCTGGAACTACCATTTTCCATCCCAGTCCCCAGCCCGGTGAGCCGGGCCCACCCATCCGGCCCTGGGGGACCGGCCACAGCCGAGGCTGGGCTGGGGCCAGAGACATAGCCAAAGAGGGAAATTCCCGCGGAGAAGAGAGGTTGCCTCAGGATAGTGGACAGAATTGGGAGGGGGGCTCTCTGTGACGGGAGGCGTGACGCTGCCCGAGCAGAAGAGAGACTTCGGGGAGTCGGGGGAGTCCCCCTGAGCTCCCGCTGCAGGGAACAGAAACCGTCCTAGGGCATTCCCGCTGCAGGAGGGGGTGGGGCGGGGAGGCACTGGCGGGAGCTCCCTGTAGGGGGTAGGGGACCCTGGCAGCAGCCGCTTAGGGCGCAGGGAGCTGGAGGGCACAGTTAAAGGGAAGCCCATACCAACAGCAGTGGACACTATCCTGCGAACTTTCACTCCCGAAGTATTCTCTGAAGAATCACTGCAGGAGTGGCACTGCCAGGGAGCGTCCACTGCGGGAGTGGGGTAGGGGGGACGGGGCCCAAGGGCCGCCCCCCTGCGGGGGTGGAGGAGGGGGAGAGGCCCTGCCTGGGGGCGCTCCCTACCGGGAGTGGAGAAGCTGAGAGCACTAAAGGAAGGGCACCCCCTGGCAGGGAGGCTGGATCGAGAAGAAAGAGGAACTGGGCCAGGGAGAGCTGACTCAGTCTCTCTGGTCTCTTCTTTGGTCCCGGCCGTCTGGAAGCCTGGTCTCCGAGCTCCTGCCCGCCGCCTCCCACCCCAGACCCCTCCTCCCCTCCTGCCGGTGTCGTTTCCTGTGGCTGAGACTCTCGCTCAGCCATGAGCTCACCGCCCCTAATGGGTTGCAGCTGCCTCGCTGCTCCAGCTCTAGATCCCCATTCCTGGCCTCAGAGCAGACAGCCCACTCTGCCTAGCCACCCGCCCCCCGCCTCGCCCGACTCCACCCTTCCCCCACCCACGCTCTCTGCGCTGGCCGGGTCCCCGGAACACTGGGGGGTCTGTCTGCTCGCCCACAGACCTTGGGATCGGGTCTCTATGTGACGCACTCAATGGCCCTCTCTGGAGTGGCTGTCCTAGCATCTCGTGGTCCGGGACAGGCAGGCAAGTCCGGTATGCAGTTTTGTCTTCAGGGCAAAGGGAGAGCTGGGGGTCGTGTAGGTAGAGAACTAGAAAAACTGTGCAGTGAGCTTCCCCTTGCCCCTTTACAGCAAATAGATCTGATAAAATAAACTTCAAAGCCATCTTGAAGGACAAATACGTTTACAGAAGAATAGCTTGAAGGGTAGTTGTTTAGAGTGGGATGGGGAACAAGAACCCATGGATTCACTTAGGCAGGTGAGTTTGGAGGAAGCAGGGCTGAGTCTTTGGAGACAGTGGCTCTAGGAGGAGATTGGCAAAGACGTCCTGATGGAATCAGAAAAGATTTCAGCTCCAATTCATGCCGTCAAGGCCTGCTCTTCCCTTCCCCACTCATTACTTTTGTGACTTTTTCCTCTTTCAACTGTCCCCACCCAGTTGTTTGTAACCCAATCCCACATGCTCCAGGAATTGGTGGGTGGATTGCTTCATAGCCACTCTAGGAGAAGGGATGCTAAAACGATTCACCATAGACAGCCCTCCAGTCCTCCTTCCCATCCAGCGACCATCTCTAGCACATGACTCATGGGTGGTGGCACCCCCTCCTAAGATGGTGGTTTCTGGATGGTATACCCTGTGAGGAGGGGCTTGCAGGATGGCCATGTGAGTGCCCCACCCTCCAGAGCTCTCAGCCATAAGTCAGCCCCCTGACAGGCCAGGAGCCTGTCTCTGCTCTCTGGGGGACGGCTTATGCAATCGCGCTGATTCCCAAGAACCAGGGAGGACACTGATCGGAGACACTCACAGCAAATTCTCCCTGACTCTCCAAAGCCAATGTCTCAGAGTTCTCTCATGGAGTGCACTTCGAGGCCTGCATACTCTGATTGGCCCCACCCTGCTCCCATCCTGGGCCAGCATTTCCTGATTGTTCTCTCTGTGCACCCAGTGGGGACCCAGGGTGACACAGCCAGCTCCCAAGGAACCATGCTAGGGTGATCTCTAAGGATCTGCAGTCTGGTCTTGTCTTTATCAGGAGCCTGAGCCAGTGGAAGACTGTGTGCAGAGCACACTTGCTGCCCTTTATCCGCCCTTCGAGGCAACGGCCCCCACACTGTTGGGCCAGGTGTTCCAGGTGGTGGAAAGGACTTATCGGGAGGATGCGCTGAAGTACACACTGGACTTCCTGGTGCCCGCAAAGCATCTACTTGCCAAGGTCCAGCAGGAAGCCTGTGTGAGTGGCCATGCATTCCTGTTCTATCTCCTTTAAGATCCTCTGCCTAACTCCAGAGACTAGCCAGACCGACTAACTTACCCCAACCCAGACACGCTGACTCCCTGATACTGATCACCCCCAGAGGCACTGTCCCTTAGATATTAACACATAGACACTCATCTTCCCCAAAAATTGACCCCTAAGAAACATCAACTCCTAAACATCCTGACCCTCCAGACCCAATTCCAGACATTTTTTCCCTCACACAAATTTCTCAAGACACTAACTCCCTCAGAGCGGCTCAACAGAGATCCTTCACTTCTACAGTTGTAAAGACCTCCTAAGAGTCTCTGAGTCCTCCAAGACAATGGCATCTGCTGTCCATGTCTTTGTAATGACTCAGTTCTTACTCCCACACATGGAACGAGCTTCGTACCATCAGCAAACTGACCAGTTCCAAGCCTCTCCTCTGCCACGTGAATACCCCAAGATAATCCCCTCCTACTCTCCTGGGGCTATAACCCACCAGGCATAAGGCCACTCCTGCCTAGGATGGTCCCATTCTAACTGTCCCCTCCTGTTGGTTTCATCAGCAGAGGCCTGAGCACAACCTCCCATCTCTCTTCCCAGGCCCAGTACAGTGGTTTCCTCTTCTTCCATGAGGGCTGGCCCCTCTGCTTGCATGAGCAGGTGGTGGTACAGCTAGCAGCCCTGCCCTGGCAGCTGCTGTGCCCAGGGGACTTCTACCTGCAAGTGGTGCCCTCAGCAGCCCAAGCACCACGCCTGGTACTTAAGTGCTTGGCCCCAGGGGGTGGGCGTGTGCAGGAGCTGCCTGTGCCCAATGAGGCCTGTGCCTACCTGTTCACACCTGAGTGGCTACAAGGCATCAATAAGGACCGGCCAACAGGTCGCCTCAGTACCTGTCTACTCTCCGCACCCTCTGGAATTCAGCGGCTGCCCTGGGCTGAGCTCATCTGCCCCCGATTTGTGCACAAAGAAGGTCTCATGGTAGGACATCAGCCAAGCACACTGCCCCCAGAACTGCCCTCTGGACCCCCAGGGCTCCCCAGCCCTCCACTCCCTGAGGAGGCCCTGGGCACCAGGAGCCCTGGGGATGGGCACAATGCCCCTGCTGAAGAACCTGAGGGTGAATATGTGGAGCTGCTGGAGGTGACACTTCCCATGATGGGGAGCCCCATGGATGCTGAGGACTCCTCAGGCCTCACCAGGACCCGGACAGTACCCACCCGAAAGGGTGCTGGAGGGAAGGGCAGGCACCGGAGACACCGAGCATGGATGCACCAGAAGGGTCTGGGACCTCGGGACCAGGATGGGGCACGCCCACCCGGTGAGGGGAGCAGCAGCGGAGCTTCCCTGGGATCTCCCCCAGGAGCTGAGGTCCTCCCGGAGGCAGCAGCCCAGGAGGTATCTGAGGCCCCAGCAGAGGTGCTGGGAGAAGCCTCTGAATTGTGCCCCCTGAGGCCTGGGGAGGTTGGAGGAGGAGCAGGCCAGGGAGCTGAAGGACCTCCTGGCACCCCTCGGAAAGGCAAAGGAAATAGGAGAAAGAAGCGAGCGGCAGGCAGAGGGGCTCTTAGCCGAGTGGGGGACAGTGTTCCTGTTCCGCTGAGCTCTGGGGACAAGGAAGAGACCAGCCAACAAGAAGCCCTCATCAGTTTGCCCTCACCAAATGAGCTTCCAGGAGGCGGCCTGGTTAAGGAGGTCCATGAAGGTTCGGAGAAATCAGAGTCTGAGCCAAAAGAGGAGCTCAAACCAGCGGACGAGAAAGAGCCTTGGCCCCCAGAAGCATGTGGACCTATAGACGAGAAAGCCAGAGAGAGGGAGCAGAAGGGCCTGAGCCTGGTGTGCACAGCAGGTGAGATGATACTGAGGTCAGTGGGGCAAGGACCAGTGTAGGTTAGGCCTTGGAAAGGGGGCTGGAGCAGGAGCAGAGGAGAGGCTGGGAGTGGAACAGCCATACCTGGTCTCACTTCAGGCCCATAGCTCTGTCTGTGTCTGTATAGGACCCACAGGTCCCGAAGGGCTCCCCGCTGATCCCCCAGCACCAACTCTGGAAGATGTGCAGGAAGTGCAAGAGGACAGGATCCCAGAAGAGTCCCCTCTAGTCTCTATCTCTGATGACCCTGACATAGCTTGGGACTTGATGGCATCTGGATTCCTCGTGCTGACTGGTCAGTGGGCATCATGGTTGAAGGGAAAGGGGTCAAAGAAAGAGAAGAGGTTGGAGTGGGCTGCAGAGAGTGGTGCAGCGGATGGGAGGTAGCCCCCAGCCAGGACAGCCTGGCCATTTTGTGTTCTCAGGAGGGGTCGACCAGAGTGGGCGAGCTCTGCTGACCATCACTCCACCGTGCCCTCCTGAGGAGCCCCCGCCCTCCAGAGACACGCTGAGCACTGCTCTTCATTACCTGCACTCACTGCTCAGGTAAGAGAGGCGCATTGCTGGTACCCTGGACACTAACCTCCTGGGTCATGAGGACTTAGACCTCTTCTCATCTGAGGACAGTGACCTCCTGACATCTAGGACACCTGCTCCTTCAATCCCCACATTTTCAAATCATTGACTTCTGACTTTACTCACCCCAAACCTCCAGGATATCTACATTGACTCTGAAAATCCACATTGCTGCTTTTCACTACCCTAACACACTGCCTAGATTATCAGGACACTGATTCACTTATTCAGCAACTATTTATTGAGCACCAGGAACCTATTAGAGACCATGCTACATGCTGACTTTGAATTTAGACCCTCCAGAGCATAGAATTCTTAATTTTCAATACTCTGTTCCTGTGACCCAATAACCACATGAATATGGACTCCTGATTGCTAGGTCATGCTGCTTCTTGGACACACATCCCAGACTTGCCCATTGGCTCCCAGACATACCAGGGACTAACTTCTGAAACCCAGTAACACTAAGGCCAGGCCCTGTGCCACTGTCCCCTCAACACACACACACACACACACACACACACACACACACACACACACACACACACAGCCTCCTTGGCTCTTCCTGTTCCCGCAGGCCCGATTTACAGATACTGGGGCTGTCCGTCCTGCTGGACCTTCGCAAGGCACCTCCCCTGCCTCCCGCACTCATTCCCGTCCTGAGTCAACTTCAGGTAACCAACCCCTTGAGACACATCCTTCTCCTGATCCTAACTCTTCCCTAGTTACCATCCCAGGCTACCCCATTACCCACAACTTGGGGTTATTCTTCCCTCCTTCAGGACTTAGGAGACCCCCCCATCATTCAGCGGCTGCTCCTTCTCAGTCATAATGACTCTCCGACTGAGATCCACGGATTTCAGGTTTGAGCCCCTCACTCCCACTTAGTGCGCCTCAGTAGTGGAAAGAGAAGAGCCTGGCTGGACCCCCAGGGGGCGATGCCCAAGCAAGAAACCCCTGCCTTCATGTGTCTACAGGGTGCTGAGTTGCTGTCAGAGAATGATCTGAAAAGAGTGGCCAAGCCAGAGGAGCTGCAGTGGGACTTGGGAGGTCACAGGGAGTCCTCTCCAGGCCACTGGGTAGAGGTACACCAGGTGAGCTACACCTCCTCCACCCAGAAGACTGGGAGCCAAGAATGACCAAGCTGAGAACATTCTAGGAGACAAGGCAGAATTAAAACTTGACCAAGGGGTTGAAAAAAAGTGGTTTCCCTCCCATTCAATTCAACAAATAAACTTATGGCTCATAAACCATGAGCAGAATATTGTGCATGTACAATGGGATGAGCATATGAAATAAATTCTTAACATGCCACGAAGCTGCATATGATTTTCGGTGGGTGATAAGTCAGAAACTACTAGAGAGCAGTGTGAAATAGCATCACTGGGGTTCTGGAAAGAGCTGAGAGTCAGGAAGTCTGGTTCTGGGTCCATGTGACCTTGGATAAGTGCCTGCACCCCACTTCCTGAGACGGTGCCTTTCTGTACCTGCTTCCTGTACCAACATCGCAGCCTTGGGATTGTCACCCACAAAAGACATCCATTGTGATGTAATCTCTGGTTCTCTGAGCCTAAGTGCTGTGAGTATTCAAGAAAAGTGGTTAAACATGATCTCAGCCAAGTATTACAGGAGGCCTATAACATGGTCTCTAAGCTGTCTACCTGGGACCTGGATCTAACTAGGCTGAGCGGAGGGTTTTACAGGGTAAGGAAGACAGAGGAAAGGAGACTCATGTTTACTAAGCTTCACAGTGTGCCAGGCCCACGCTGGGTGCTTATGTAGCAGCATCTCTTTAAACTTCACGAAACCCTTATGTCTTATCCAGACCTTAGAGTTGAGGAAACTGAGGTTCAGGGAGGTTTCTGGACCTTCCCAAGGTCACCCAGTCAGTAAGCAACGAATTCAGGAACTGAAGTCAGCATTGCCTCTGTAAAAGCCTCTGGGGCTGCCCCATGTCCACCCAAGAGCTCAGGCTCCTTATCCTAGACCGTCCCTGGACTTCATCCCTGTGTGTGTGTTTCAGGAAGTGGCAAGGCTGTGCCGTCTGTGCCGAGGAGTGCTGGGCTCTGTACGGCAAGCCATTTCGGAACTGGAGGCAGTGACAGAGCCAGAGGGAGAGGTATGAAGTGAGATGGGGCAAAAGGGCACGGGGTGGGGACTGTGGTGGGAACTGTGGTAGAACCTCAACCATCAACTGCTTCCTGCTCCCAGGAGGCGGTAGGAATGCCTGAGCCCCTACAAAAGGTGCTGGCAGATCCCTGGCTGACGGAGCTACAGAAGGATGGGGGAGCCATCCTGATGAGGCTGCGCTCCACCCACAGCAGCAAGTATGGGGGACAGACGGATGTGCTGGGGCAGGTGGATGTGGTGGGTGGAGACACAACCGGGGACTGCCAATAACCTTAGTTGTCAGATCATTCTCTTTTTTAAAAAAAGATTTATTTATCTAGTTTTAGAAAGAGAGTAAGGGAAAGAGAAAGAGAGAAAGGGAAACATCAATGTGTATCAGTGTGTGGTTGCCACTCATGTGCCACCTACTAGGGGCCTGGCCTGCATCCCAGGCATGTGCCCTGACTGGGAATCGAACTGGCAACCCCTTGCTTCACAGTCCGGTGCTCAGTCCAGTGAGCCACACCAGCCAGGGCACTGTTACAGAGCATGTGTCATCTGGACAAGATACCATGCTTTTCCACTTATCTCATAACCCCTATAGGGTGTCTACATATTAATTATGATAAAAATGGGGATTTAGAAGATCAGAAGTGTTCAATGTCTTGGCCAAGGTTAGTCAGTAAATGAAAAAGTCAGGATTCAAATCCAGGCCTATACAATGACCCATGATACTCTCCACCTCCTATAGGGATGCAAGGATGGAAGAGGGTAAGGGGGCTTGATAAACAAGGACAGTGATTCATTCTGCCCCACTCCTTTCCCAGGCTGGAGGGCCCAGGCCCAGCTACACTGTACCAGGAGGTGGACGAAGCCATTCATCAGCTCGTGCGCCTGTCCAACCTGCACGTGCAACAGCAGGAGCAGCGGCAGCGCCTGCGCCGACTCCAGCAGGTGAACCAGGACCCCTGGACCTCTCTCACTTGGCCTGGGGGCCTGGCCTTCAGCACCCCCTTTCCACTGATAGAGGTGATGGTGTTCTCCTAACCTGGCTTGGTTGGCTAGCCTTCCCTCTCTCCTCACCTCCCCTGGAGGTTGGTCATGGTCAGTGTGAGAGTCGACAGGAGGGAGATAGCATCGCAAGACCAGCAAAGTCTCCCCTTCTGCACTGTTCATGTTTGACCAGGGACCCTTAAAGATTGTGAGAGATGGTTGGTATCATAGGGGGTCTGGGAAGAGCTGATTGATCCTGGAGTGCCTGCCTCCTTTGCTTAAAAACAATAAATGTCTATTGATACCTGCTCTTTATCTATACTGCCACCCATGTTCCCTCAGCTCTTCTTTTTTTTTTTTAAGATTTTGTTTGTTCATCTTCAGAGAGGGAAAAGGAGGGAGAAAAAGAGGAAGAAACATCAGTTGGCTGCCCCTTGCAGGCCAGTGCTCAACCCACTGAGCCCACAGCCATGGCTCCTCAACTCTTTATACAATGTGGTCCTCCAGACCTGAGGCTGGAAAGGCCCCTTGGAAGGAGAGGGCAATGGAAGCGCTCCCTAGATGCCTTGGGAACCAAGGCCTCTTTGTGTGGAAGAGTCAGTGATAAGGCTGGCTTCTCTGAATCTTGATTTTACTCTTATGGTTAAGAGCCCCTTAGGGGTTTGCTCCCCACTCTACTGTGTGGTTAGAGAGGGCTTTGAAATTTCATTTCTCCTCCCTAGCGCCAAGCGTGGTGAGTCAATTGACCTCACTGACTTTCATGTGGGCATCGGGGAGGGTCAATTAAGGGCCATTGTCAAAAGGTGGGAGCAGGGAGGGGTGGGGGGTAGTAGCAGGGCTCTCTGTTTCCTGGGATTTCTGCATATTGGCTCTCTCCATCCCAGTATCCAAAGGGTTATATATCTTACTGTATGTTTGCTTGCTTGTTTATTAGTTCTTTTCTTCCACTGTTTAAAAACTGTTAGCACACAGGATTTAAAGGCTAAAGTGCTCAGCTTGAGTTTCAGTTCTGCTGGGAGTGAAATGTTGGGCGAGTCTGAAAGTGTCTCTAAATTCCCAAGTCCTCATCTGTAGAATGGGGATGCTAATCACATGTACAGGGGTGTCAGGACAACAAACGAATCAAGCAAAGCACCATGGAAGCATTCACTGTTGGCCTTGGTTACTGGGAATACCCTGACTTATGTTTAGTTGTCTCACCCAGCTTCCAGCCTTTCTTCAGAGGAAAAACTTACCTTTTTGGCCAAATATCCTATATGCAGTGAGTCCCTCGAGCCTGTAATAGGCAACTACAACTGCATGCACGCACCTGCATATGCAGGCTCACGTGTGTGCACACACACACACACACACAATACCACCTCCTGAGCCATCTCTCCACCCATCACTGGGCTCAGAAAATGTGAAATTTCTTCTGGCCCTCATTTCGGTCCTCATCCCCTCATCCTGTCTCGGGCTCACATCAGTTTTATTGATTTCATCACGGCACAGCCCTGGAACCCTAACCCGCATGCCCAGCTTCCCTTTCATCTGCTGCTTCACAGAGATCTCTTACTCACTTTCTCACTGTGCCATCCGCTGTTAGCATCCCCACTTTATAGCTGAGATGAAACAGTTCGCCCAAGGTTCTGCTGATTGGGGTGATGGGGTTGAACAGGATCTCAGCTTCCCTTTCCTACCCTCTGCAAGCCTCTTCCTCCCTCACAGTCCCGCTCTTCCACCCTGCTTGCCCCAGGTGCTGCAGTGGCTGGCAGGTCCAGGGGAAGAGCAGCTGGCCAGCTTCGCGGCACCAGGGGACTGCCTGACTGCCCTGCAGGAGACAGAGCTCCGATTCCGGGCTTTCAGTGCTGAGGTTCAGGTGAGGAGTGGGAGAGGGGCAGGTGAGCGAGACATTGGGGAGCAAGGGGCGGCTGGGTGGGAATGAGGGCCAGGTCTGAGCGTAGCCTCCCTTCTCCAGGAGCGCCTGGCCCAGGCGCGGGAGGCCCTGGCCCTGGAGGACGATGCTGCCTCCCAGAAAGTTCTGGATATCTTTGAGCAGCGGCTGGAACAAGTTGAGAGTGGCCTCCACCGAGCCCTGCGGCTACAGCGCTTCTTCCAGCAGGTGTGTGCACAGCTTCATCCTTCCACAGCCGCCATTGTCTTCCTTTTGTCTAAAGAGGCTGATCGGATAGTTGTTAAAAGCAGGGACTCAGGTGGCCATCTCCCTGGCTTTACCTGCTGGCTCTGCCACCTACTTGCTAAATGGCCTGAGACAAGATACCAAGCCCGAGTGTGCCTCCATGGGCACCTACCTCGCAGGACTCCGTGAGGATTATAAGCCATATAAAAAAGCACTTAGTGCAGAGCCTGCCAGTGGCAAATTCTGTGTATTGGTGTTCTTTCATCTGGGCTGCCATCTCCACGCCAGTTTAAAGTGGCCTGGTCAGGCAGTGATGGGGACATGTACTGAGAAGCCTGGGAGGGTGGTGAGCATTGGGAAGCCATTGTGAAAGAAGCCAAGAGCTATCATCAGGCAGCATGGAGGAGCAGCACAGGACTCCACTCCTTCCTCTCCCCACCCCTAACCTCTTTGGTCTTGTAGGCACACGAATGGGTGGATGAAGGCTCTGCCAGGCTAGCAGGAGCGGGGCCGGGTCGAGAGGCGGTGTTGGCAGCCCTGGCCCTGCGACGGGCACCGGAGCCCAGTGCTGGCACCTTCCAGGAGATGCGAGCCCTGGCCCTGGACCTGGGTAGCCCAGCAGCCCTGAGAGAATGGGGCCGCTGCCGGGCCCGCTGCCAAGAGCTGGAGAAAAGGATTCAGCAACAGCTGGGAGAGGAGGCCAGTCCACGAGGCCACCGGCGATGGCGGGCAGACAGTGCTAGCAGTGGAGGGGCCCAGCGGGGTCCCCACAGCCCCTCACCCAGTCTCACCTCCCTGCTGCTCCCCAGCAGCCCTGGGGCACTGGCAGCCCCATCCCACTGCTCTCTGGCTCCCTGTGGGGAGGACAATGAGGAGGAGGGCCCTGAACTGTCTCCAGAAACAGAGGGCAGACCACCAAGGACTGTGCTGATCCGAGGCCTGGAGGTCACCAGTACCGAGGTGGTAGATAGGACATGCTCACCCCGGGAACACGTGCTGCTAGGCCGGACCGGGGGGCCAGATGGGCCCTGGGGAGTAGGCACCCCCCGGATGGAGCGCAAGCGAAGCATCAGGTGAGAGCCCAGCTCAACCAGTGCCTAAGATGCAGCCCCAACTGCTCAGCAGGGAAAAAACATGACATTGGGGGTGGTGACTCCCTCGCATGCCCCAGTCTCCTCTGCCACTCTGTTTTACCTGCAGTGCCCAGCAGCGTCTGGTGTCTGAGTTGATTGCCTGTGAGCAGGAGTATGTGGCCACTTTGAGTGAGCCAGTGCCACCTCCTGGGTGTGAGCTGACCCCTGAGCTTCGGGGCACCTGGGCCGCCGCCCTGAGTGTCCGGGAGAGGCTTCGCAGCTTCCATCGGACACACTTTTTGCGGGAGCTTCAGGGTTGTGCTACCCACCCCCTGAGAATTGGGGCCTGCTTCCTTCGCCACGTGAGTGTTCCTATGAAACTTCTTCCAGGTCATGTTTCAGCCCCACCCACTTGAACCTCCTTCTTAGCATCTGTCCCCTAACTCATCCCTACTAAAATGTGTGGTCCAAGAATCAAGCCTAGTGCTACTCCCTGGGTCCCTCTGGGTCCCTGTCCACGAGTGCTGCCTGGCCTTCACTATCTCCGTGGCAGTCGGTCATTCCCTTGGCAGAGTGTGCCGTGGTGACCCTCCTTTGGGCTACAGTGAGGATGTGGAGGAGGAGAAGAAGGGTCTTGTCTGCAGGGATGGCTTACTTCTTCTCTACTGGCACAGGGGGACCAGTTCAGCCTTTATGCTCAGTACGTGAAGCACCGACACAAACTGGAAAATGCTCTGTCTGCACTGGGCTCCCCAGCCAAGGTAACCTTTTCGCCAATCCTCATGAGAAGGGGTGGGGCCACGAAGACCTAAAATCCACCCAAGCTCAAAATCTCTCAGGGAAAAAAGCTTTCCTGGATGTGCCCAGGGACATCACCTACCAATAACCTCCTAGAACCTAGGTTCTTATCTAGTCCACCTGAGGAACTACTGGGCAAGACTCTTGGTTCTTCTGAACCTCTGTTTCTACACTGATAAACGAGGGCAATGTTCACTATATCTAACTCACAGAGTATTCTGAGGATCAAAAGACCTCACAACAAAAGATGGGAAAGTGACTTCAAAAGTTAAAAGCCAGAGGACATAAGGGATTATTTGTATTCCTCCTCTATGCCCCATCAAAATATAGAGGATGACTGAATCTCCTGTAGCCCCCCACCTGCTGTCTTTCTGGGGAAAGGTTTTCACCTTACCTTTAGGTATATCTGAGCTTCACCTATCCCCAGAAGCCTGGAATACCACCCGCCCCACAGAGCTCAGTCCCCACCAGCTCCAGTCCCTTCCCTAATCCCTGTCTGTCTCCATCCCAACCTAGGGCTCTACAGAGTGTGGGCCTCACCTGCCCAGGGCCCTGCAGCAGCCCCTGGAACATCTGGCTCGGTATGGGCGGCTCTTGGAGGAGCTCCTAAGGGAAGCTGGGCATGAACTGAGTTCTGAGCGCCAGGCCCTTGGGGCCGCAGTGCAGCTGCTTCGGGAACAAGAGACCCGTGGTAGAGACCTGCTGGCCGTGGAGGCGGTGCGTGGCTGTGAGGTGAGGCCAGGGCTCCAGTCACTCCAGCTCAAACTGCCTAGCCCTGTGGCCCCAGAAGCAATGTGGGCCGGTGAAAAGAGAACTAGACTCAAGGTCAGAGGGCCCAAAGCTCTAATTTTTAACCAGCTGATTGGCCAGAGTCAAGTCACTGAACTTCACTGGACTTCTGCCCAACATCCCAAGATCCTACATCTGCCTGCACTTACCTATTCCTTTCCTAATTCTTATCTTTACCTATCTACTCTGCCTTCTTTCTGCATCTCAACACTCACACATACCTTATTCTCCTCTACATAATCTCTTTCCTCTTGTGAGGTTCCAGAACAGGTTGAAAACCTACTTCCTCTGGTAGACTTCTTTCCCCATCAATTCTTTGCTTATTCTCTTCCTGGGGCAAAATGGTGCCTTGGTCCCCAATATTCAAAGGCTTCCACATGAGAGGCTATAAACCCTACTACACAATGTGCCTTCCACCTTCAGAGACAGGCTGTGCTGCTAGGCCAGGAAACAGTGACCAGTAGGTGGATTCTAGGCCAAGGGCTTCCCTGACTTCCTGACTCTCTCTGAGAATTAGTCATTAAGTCCTTGCCCCATAAATTGCATTTTTACTCCCCATAAAGTATACACAAAGGGCTCCAGGGCCAATAATGTTTTTTCCTTTCTACAGACAGATCTAAAGGAACAAGGACAGCTCCTGCACCGGGATCCCTTCACTGTCATCTGTGGCCGAAAGAAGTGCCTTCGCCATGTCTTTCTCTTCGAGCACCTCCTCCTGTTCAGCAAGCTCAAAGGCTCTGAGGGGGGGTCGGAGATCTTTGTTTACAAACAGGTCTTTAAGGTACAATGCCTGCAGGAAGGAGGGGTGGCGGGGAAATAGGACAGGAAGTCATGTTCTTCTTGAGAACTCAGGATGTTCTGTAAATTCAGCCCAACCCACGTTCAGAATCTGCATCATCTAGAACAGATTTTGGCCTATAACCAACCAGCAGTTGGGTGTGAGGGTGATAGAAGACCACCGTCAGTCTACTCCTTGAGGTTTTCCTTATCTTTCATTCAGAAGACTCATGAGGCATTCCAAGCCAGAAAGAAGGAGGACCCCTCCCATCAAGAACACACATGGTCCCTGGGGGATGGGAGAAAGGACACTGTGTATATAGCTTAACATGATGGAACTGAAGAAGCCAAGAGGAAGGACTTGCTTTAGGGAAACAGCCCTGGTACCCAGATAAACATCAATAGCAACCTATGGCTATGTAGCATGATTCTAAGGGTTTCTAGACTTTGTCCCCATACACTAGTTCCAGCTCTTCGGGATGAGGCGGCAGAGTACAGTATAGAGAAAAAAGCCTAGGTTTGGAGTAAAAGATGTGGTTTGAACCTTCCTTCTCTAATAAGCCATTATGATAAACCCTTGCTTGGGCAAGTTGCTTCATGACTCTGGGCATTCCCCTTCTATAAATTATGGTTGCTATAGAAACTAAATGTAGAGCAGTTGGCCAATGGTAGGTGTTGAGCAAACATTTACTGAACATCTACCAGATGCCAGGCTAAGTGTAATGCTTTTCCATGTGGTACCATCTAGCCAGAACTCACTCTTACCCACTCTCCTTTGCTCTTTCTCAGACTGCTGACATGGGACTAACAGAAAACATCGGGGACAGTGGGCTCTGCTTTGAGCTGTGGTTTCGGCGGCGGCGGGCACGGGAGGCATACACTCTGCAAGCAGCTTCACCAGAGATCAAACTCAAGTGGACAAGTTCTATTGCCCAGCTGCTATGGAGACAGGCAGCCCATAACAAGGGTAACAGGCGAAGCTGGGGGAGGGTGTGCTTGGGGTCAAGGTTATGGCAGGTTAGCTGGAAAGTGTGGAGAACACGTGGGAAAATAGGATGGAGGAAAGAGAAAGAGAAATGACTTATGAGAAGTTTCAGGATGTGACCTGAGAGAGACTGCTGAGATATGAATTAGTCTAAGGTGTACCAGAAGGAAAGAGGACTCTAGCAAATTTCAGGGAAGAAAAAGCAAATGGCTGGGCAGAAGAGAGTGAGAAAGTATACACTGGACCTGTGTTCTAGAACTTAACGCTGTGACATGAACTCGTTTTCTGTTTTGGTTTTGGGGGTTTTGCTGGGTTTTTTTTTCTTTCAATTCTCTGAACTTCATTCTGCTCATCTGGAAAAAAAAAGGAAAGTAATATCTACATCTCAGTGTGATAGGGAGAATTATATATGGAAGTACTTATAAACTGTAATGGTATGTAAAAATGTGAGTTTTGCTCTTAACACCCAAGATAAAGGGAAGAACGTGAGCATAAGAAGAAAAGTTGGGCAGCTGGAATGGTAAATGGGCAGGATGCAGCATGCAAGAGGAAAGAGACAGATGTTCAAGGAGGTTGAGGACCACTATCTCCATCTGTGTCACCTGCAAGAGAAAGAAGAGATGCCAGAGACATGAGGGAGAAATAAGAGTTGAGAAGGAGCAAAAGGAAGAATCAACCAAAACAATGCTAGGGCTGGAGCAGAGAAAGGGCAAAAGGAGGCTGGTAACAGGGTCTCTGTTCCCTAGAGCTCCGAGTGCAGCAGATGGTCTCCATGGGCATTGGGAATAAACCTTTCCTGGACATCAAGGCCCTTGGGGAGCGGACACTGAGTGCCCTGCTTACTGGAAGAGGTAAGGGCTACAGTGCTGGCAACTGGTCCGGAAGTCAAGACCTTGACAGTGAGGGCACAGTGGGGAGGCATGGTAGAAAGTGAGGAAGGGTAGTGAGTGGATGTCCTCCCAGAAGTTATGGGACTGACTGGGAAGCCCTCTATGAAGCTTAGGGTCTTTTCAGGGAGCCAGGAGGGCTTTCCCACACCAGCACCCACCCCCCACCCCGACTCTCTGCAGCCGCCCGCACTCGGGCCTCCGTGGCCGTGTCATCCTTTGAGCATGCCGGCCCCTCCCTTCCGGGCCTCTCACCGGGAGCCTGCTCCCTGCCTGCCCGCGTCGAGGAGGAGGCCTGGGATCTGGACGTCAAGCAAATTTCCCTGGGTGAGGCACCTCTCAAGGGGTGGCTCCCCCCAACAGCTGGGTCATCACTGTGATGTTCAGGCTGCTTGTTGCTGAGCAATTCCTTTTTCTAGCCAAGAAGTCCAGTTGCCATGACAACTATTTACAGCTTCCCCATTGCTAAGAGCCTTCCATTGGGTTGCTAGCGTAATGCTACAGCAGCCTGTTGCTAAGAAGCACTTCCTCTCTACCTCTCTCTAGCTCTCCTTGGGTTTCTATGGAAACTGCCTCAGCTTCCTGTTGTACCCTCCTGGTTCACCAAGGCAATCCTTAGTTTCCTATCGCTTCTTCCCCCCACTTCGTTGCTCTAATGATGCCACTGACAATTTCCTGCCTCTTGGTAGCGGGAGGGGTTCTCTTGCAAGTGGAGTGCTATGGTGACTCACAGCTTCCTGTTGCTATAGAGCTTTTTCTTCCCTGATGGAGCAGCTTAGTTGCTTCAGGTAATTTAGAAGAGTTCTATACCCTGCTCTCACCCTAGCTTCCCCTCCAGCCCCAGAAACACTTGACTCTTCTGGAGATGCATCCCCAGGACCAAGAAACAGCCCCAGCCTGCAACCCCCCAACCCTGGGAGCAGCACTCCCACTTTGGCCACTGGAGGGATCTTAGGGCTATCTCGGCAGGTAAGTAAGTCCCTGCAGTACGACTGGAAAGGGGTGACCTCTTCAGCCACTTTCTGGGTGGGTTCCTCTGATCTTTCATCCTATGGGGGGCAGAGGGAACCAGCCAGCCTGTGCTGCCAGCAAAGCTGCAGGTTGGCTGTACTGTCCAGTCTGCCTTTCTCCTCTCCTGCATCCCTGGCTGAGAGGCATTAAGGTCAAAAGTGAAAAGCAATCTTTAATAAACAGCATAGTACAGGAGTGGATGGAAAGGGGAGAATGCCAACAGCCTGGTTTGGACTTGGATTAAATCAGCAAATTCAGAAACTCCAGAGAGGAAAAAGAGGTGAATTGACAGCCTTGGGTGAGAAAGATGGGATACAGGAAAGAGGTCATTCCTTGTCCTTTTAATTCACCACAGTTTCTCTCCCCTAAGAGTCATGCCCGAGCCTTGAGTGACCCCACCACGCCTCTGTGACCTGGGTGAGTTGGTGTCCCCCTTCCTACCACACCCAACACTCCTTCCCTCTTGCATGTACCACCCTTAGTCCCCTCAGCTGCTTAGGAGTTGACCTCTTCCCTCTCCCAACCCATCTCCTTCTTCTCTCCTGGCTTCTAGACAAAATCCAGAACTTGGCTACAGCCCCTCCTCTCAGCACATTTTGGGCTGGGATGGCAGTGGGACATAGTGAAGGACTGGAAGAGCTTTGACTTCCTTCCCTCTACTTCCTGGAAAGAGAGGTCAAAGGACCAGCGCATTTCCCTGCTACCGCTATCTCTGTAGCTTTTCCGAACTGGGTGCCTTCTTCCTCAGGAACCAGAGTAGCCATACTTACTTGCCTTCATACCCTGGAGGCAGGAGTTATCTGTGGCCTAGTGCTTCCCCATCCTGGGCCACTGCACACTCCCAGGGCACAGCCCCATGTCAGGTCTCCCCGGATAACCGGTATTTTCCCCTTCTTCCCACCCTGACTCTCCCTAAGAAGACTCATCTCTGCCAGGTTAACCGTAATTCCTGGTGACTCCATTCTGGGGTGTCATAGGCAACGGAGCTATGCAAACCAATATATGAGGGTGGGGTGGGGAACTGCAAACTTTATACATGTAATTACTGTTATTATAATACTATTGTTATATTAAATATATTTACTTGCATTTTGTGTCCAAGGAAGAGCTAGAGCAGTCCTCTGGGTTGAGGTGATACTACTAACTTGAATACTTCTCCTCAATCGTTAACTAGAACACACAAAATAGGAGGCTACAAGGTACCTTGTATCCCTTCCTGTCCCAAAGCTGGGTATGGCCTGGGAGAATGTGCCTCCTCCAGGGTGGCTCCCAGAGGCTCAGTGTACCCTTTGAAGCTCCTCCTCTCACACTGTCTAGTCACAGTCAAGGTGGATTCAGCACCGTCCAGCAGATTTCAGAACAAGAGGTTCTCAGACCACAATGTGTTAGACTCCCCCAGACCACTAGCTATATGCCAATTCCTGTGCCCCACCCCAGAGTTACTGAAGCCAAAGCGTGGGGGGTAAAATCCAAGCATTTCTTATCATGCTCTTTGGGTGTTAACTAAGTGCTTCTTCCCTGGAGAGAATGACCCAAGGAGGAGGAAAGGACATAGGCAGACAGACTCAGTGTCCTGTGCCTCAAGACACCTGTTTATTGGGGACACAACTCTGCGACAGGGATGACAGGAATCGTACCAAAAATAGCGACGTCTACAGGGCCCCTAAAGGGGCTTAGAAGGGTACAGTGCCCCCCACCCCCACCCATTGTACAAAAATAAACTCTCATGCCTATGGACCAGCAAGGACTGGCAGAGCATCTCCTCGAAAGGGCACAACTCTCTCTGCCAGCCCTGGGACCCCGTTCTTTGATCCTCACCCCTGCCACTTCTAAGGCACTGTGACTCCCCTAGGCTGAGTGGGTACTGCCCGGCCCACCCCCCTATGCCCTCAACACCCTTTACTTTTCTCTGGTCCACCTGGAGCTGGGATATGGGTCCCACGCTGCCCCCTGCTGGATGTTCTACCCAACTACCTCTAGGGCTCCCCCGCTCTGGCGGAGTAAGCTCACTAAACTAATGGCCCCTAAGAGGGTTCCCTACCTTTCTTGCCCTCCCAGCCCCACCTCTCCGGATCTCGACAGCCTGGGGCCCTCCTCCCCTTCCTGCAGAGGAGGACTTGGAGGGGTCTCTCCTGTCGGTGCTCGGAGGTAGGGCAGGGACGCGTCAGCCTGGGGCGGCCGGCGGCCCCGAGCCCGGCGACTGTGGTGCACTTGCAGGTGCAAGGCCATGAGCTCGGGAGCTCCAGTGGCAAAGGGGCAAAAGAGGCAACGGTGGAGGGCACCCCCCGGCCCGGCCTCACCTCCCGGCCCCGCCCGCAGGGACAGGTCCAGGGGTTCGGCCTCACCGCCTCGCCCATTGCGCAGGGTCCTCCCAGGACTGGCGGGTTTCCTACGAGATCCCGGCGCGGAGCCGCTGGAAGGCCGAGGGCTCGAGGTGCCCTCCGCCCAAGTCGCAGGCTGCTGAGCCGCCTTGGCTCCAGATGCCTGGGGCAAACTCCGCTGGGAAGGGGGCGGCTCCGGTGGTGGTCCGGGGCCAGCCCCGCTCCTCTGCTCCCGGTGGTGGCGCTGCAGGTGATACTTAAGCGAGCCTGATTGGGTGCCAGCATAGTCGCAGTGCGGACACTTGTAGGGGCGTTCGCCTGAGGAGAGGAAAGTGCTATCGGATTCGAGTCAGGAGCACTGCCCACCCTCACCCTCATTTCGCTCAACATATTGACCTCCTTTAGACTAGAAGAAAAACCGCCTTTCCCACCGCTCGCATGTATTAAAGGAGGGTTTCCCAAAACCCTCATCTTGGCCAGTCTGAAGGCTGCCAAGAGTCATCTGCAGCCCCCTCACCTCTTTCTGCCCTCCAGTACCCTCCCTACCCTGGAAGCTACTCCCTCACCTGTGTGTACTCGCAGGTGCACTTTGAGGTGATGCGCTGAGCGAAAAGATTTTCCGCAGAAGGGACAATCCTTGCCAGTGGCCCCCCGGCTCCCTTCAGACCGGGTCCCTCCAACTAACAGCCCATTCTCTTCTGCAATACACACGTTAAGGGAAATTAGGGGGGCCCATTGTCCCAACCCTGCAGAGCCATGCACCCACACACCTACCCCACCTCCCCTCAGGGTACAGAAGGAAACAGCATGCTTGGAGAAATGGGTTGGCTTTGATGTGAGTTGAGCTGGTGCCCTAGGAGACCCTTTTTAAAAGGAGGGGACAAGAGCATTGTGGTGGCATCAGAGTGAGCAACCTCAGAAACAGGAGACCCCTTACATACCCTGTGAGGCGGTGGACCTTGCCTGGGCCGCCGAAGCAGGTGCAGAATGGCCCGTCCCCTCCCCTGGGCGCGGGTGCAGTGAAGCCAGAGGGCCCAGCGCCCGGTTTCGGGCCCAAGTATCCTCCTCAGACTCCACAACCTCCTCTTCTTCCTCGGGCTCTTCGGCACGGTGCCGGCGAGCCCGGGCCGGAAGAGCAGAGGGCAAGGGGCGGAAGCCTCCGAAGCTGCGGCCAGCCCCAGGCTCAGCGCCCTCACCATTGGGCCGGGGTTCACCAGCTCGCAGGCTCAGGTAGCCCAGCAGGCTTGCAGGCTCACGGCGCTCAGCCGGGGTGGGCGCTGGGGCCAAGAGGAGCGTGGGGCCCAGTGGCTCATAGGCCAGCAGGCCCAGGTCTGGAGGCTGGGGAGCCCGGGCAGACCCAGATCCGGGCCCCGGGGCACGCATTGGGCCCAGCTTGCTGGCATGCACCTTCATGTGGTTCTTAAGGAACCAGGGCTCCTTGAAGCAACGGCCACACACGGGACACGCATGATCGAAGGAGGCCTTGTGCTTGCGCATGTGGCCCTTGAGAAACCAGGACTGCGTGAAGCTCTGACCACACACTTGACAACGGAACTCTGGAGGCGCAGGGGGCTCCTCAGGAGTGGCAGGAGCAGGGGCGGGGGTTGCCTCACGTTCGGGCTCAGGCTCTGGATCTGGCTCCGGTTGGGGGACCGATCTGGGTTCAGGTTTGGGTGGAGGCTGAGGCTGGGGGACTGCCGAGGTGGCCGCCAGAGGGCGATCAGGAGCTCCGTGGGCCGTCAGGTTGTGATGCAGCAGCTCCTCCTCCTGGCTGGAGCCGAAACTACATAGGCCGCATTTCCAAGGCCTGTGCAGGATGTGCATGTGGCGTTCAAGCTCCGCTGCGGTGCGAAACTTGCCCTTGCAGAAGGGGCAACGGAAGGAGGATGACGAGGGAGCCTGGGGCGGCGCCAGGCCCTCAGTGGCAGGGGTGGCCTGCAGGCCCCCTGAGCTCCGGGATCTCCCTAACCGGGCCTCACGCAGTAGCGCACGCTCCTCCAATTCTAGCAACAGGCGTGCGGCGGGGCTGCGCGGGCGTTCGGGCTGGTGCGTGCGCAGGTGCGAGCGCAACAGAGCCCGCTGCGCAGCACGGTGGCCGCAGTGTGGGCACTGGAAGGCCTGGGCGCCTGGGTGCGCCCGCAGGTGCAAAGCCAGGATGGAATTGAAGCGGAAGCGCTTCCCGCATACAGGGCAGGGAAAGCGCCGTTCGCCAGCGCGACTCTCAGACCAGCCCACCGCTCCCATTCCTGGAGACCCTGTGCTAAGGCCTGGCCCGTTGGAGTAGCGCTGCAGATCCAGTTCGCCCTCAAAGGCCGGCGGTGAAGGCGTTAAAGGACCGCCCAGGGCGCGGGGACGTGAGCCCTGTGGAGAAAGATGTATATGGAGCAAAGGGTGGAAAAAGGAGAGTTGTGTGGGGTAATAAGGGCATGGGGAACTGGAAGAGCCCAAGGGAAGGTGTGCTGGGGCCTGAACCAGGTACACCGGGTACCCTTCCCATTCATCTTGGGGAAGATGGAGGATGCCTGGGAACTGAGTTGATGGGGTCACGGAGATAACATCACAATGGCAGGTCAGAAGGAGAGAAAGGGAGGGAGGGGAGGGAGCATAATTGCAGGTATTTGCAGGTTCAAGTCAAGTTTCACTCACCTCCATGGACCCCCTTCACATTCTTTGGTTCTGGGGAGTGCAGGGAAGAGGAGGAGGAAAAGTTGCTAGTGAAGGCAACAGGTGCTGAAGAGCTAAAGCAAGAGAGATAGATGTGAAAGAAAAGATAAGTCCTGATGTTCAGCAATGGAAAGAGTCACCCCAAAATCAAGACTCTTAGCACCCTGGACTCCTGAAACCTATCCCTTCTTCCTCCTTGTATCCTGAGGCAGGAGAGGGCTACTATCTTCAAAACTTATACTCCTTGATTTGCCAACCCCCAAGACTCCATGAGAACACAGATTTCGCCCCGCAAATACATTTTAAATTTCTGGTCCAGAACTACCACTATCACCACCCCTGATGTTGGGGGAAGACCATCACATGACAGCCCTCTGTCATTTAGATTGGGCTGTGCAGCTTGATAAGCAAATGAGGTGGGACCACTGCTCTCAGACACCTAACTGACCAGCCAGCCAAACATCCTTCCTTTGCTCCACAGTCCTTCCTTTTGCTTTTACCCTGTCTTTCTGTCTTCCCCCCTCATTCTCCCTCCCTCCGCCTGGATTCCTGATCCATTCATTTCCATTCATTACAGAGACTCATTCATGCATGGGAGAGAAACACCTCCCAGCAGCAGCAGTCTGGAGACAGACAGAGGGGGAGGGGCACAAAGGGGGAGAGAGCCACAGGGAGAGGGAATGAAGAGAGAGTTGGGGGAGGAGTGGAAGTTAAGGGGCGCTGCTGGCCTGGGGAAGGGGTTAAAAACCAAATACCAGATAGGATTCATCCCCGTGTTTCAAACCTTAGAGCCTGCAGTTTGATGGGGCATCTCAGCCCCTTTGTCCAGGGCTGTTCCGAAGCAGGCTTTCCTCCTCTCTGCAGGGGAGAGGCTCCCTCACACAAGAGGAGGATTACACTGGCTCTGAGCTCAAGAGGCTGGAGTGAGGGACGGGGGGCGGGGCTGGGCCATCTGCACAGATAGGAGCTCAGTACATGCTCTGAGCAGGAAAGGGTTAAAATTCTCCAGGCTAAAATTCCCTGGGCCTGGGATGTGCAGAGCTCCAGTTCTGAGGAAGAAGAAGAGCACTGAAAGGAAGGGGGGGTGCTGCACTCCTGATTCTAAGCTGCAGAGGTTAGCATTAGGACTTAAAAGCAATCTCAGAATTAAGATTCATTGGAAATAGGCCTGGGAGGATGACTAGAAGTTGGTCAGTATACCTTCCTGCTTACATATAGAATTTTATCTGGTCAAGGCTAGACAAATGTGGAATGAATATGTGTGTGTGTGTGTGTGTGTGTGTGTGTGTATTTATATTTTGTCCTGACATAGAAAAATATTTGAACTACAAAGAACTTCCATACAATAGGCATAATATGGGATACTGAGAAAGAAAAGGACTCAAGCATTACTTTGCTTAAGGATCTTTAGTGGATGAGACTTGGGCCAGAAGTCAGCCCTGCTTATCAGCAAAGAAAAGAGGCTCTGGAAATC